GGAAAGCACCGTGTCTTTCTGAGGGCAGCCTTTCTGCTACTTTCAAAAGGCAACCGGAGGCCGCATCCCAAAGGGTGCCATCTCCCTTGTGGCCAAGCCAGAGTTTCACTTTGCGCCCGCCAGGGGATCTTCCTGTCAAAGCGCAACAAGGGGGCGCCCCGAGCGCCCGCGTGCACAGTCAGCACAGGCCCTTCACAGGACGGCGAGCAGAATCGAAGGATTCGCTTTGTTTCGTTTGATCTTGTGCCATTTGTAACGTTGGGTTCCTTAAAGGGAACACTTTGAGGGGTTCTCCAGAGTTTTTTTTTTGGAGGGGGGAGGTGCAGTTGCTGTTCTATGTTTTGTCCAACCCTCATCCAAGTGTTTGTCCAAACCACTCTAGCTGTAGTAATCCTAGCACACACACACACACCCATCGCCAAGTCAAGTCAAGCCAAGCCAAGCCAATCCAGATCAAGCCAAGTCTGTCAGTAGCCAGTTAGTTAGATAGCTATAGCTGGTCAAACAGCTGGCTCATGGGTTGGCTAGCTACTTAGCCAGTGAGTCAGCTAGTCTCTTAGCTAGATGGTGCCAAAGGACATGAACCGCAATCAACTTCGTTGACAGCATACGCACCATGAGTGGCCAACAAACTCGGTCGAAGTTTGAAGTTCACACTTCACCCGCAAGTGGAGGGCGAGGCACCGCATTGTTCAATTACTCGCGGAAGGAAAGCCTCCGCGGATGGGGCGCAGCTTGCGGCGAGGATGTTTGGGTGCGGACGTGAGAGTGCGAGTGAGTTGATTGCCGGTCATTCAAACTGCAACCGCTTGGCACGACGTGGCTATGGTGCAATCGGGAAGGCCTCCTGTTCCTGGCTTTTGTCGCAAAGAGGTGGCGAAGGAGCAGAGCCCATCCCTCCCGCGACGGAAGGCGCGGTGCGCGCTCGTCTTTGGATTCTCTTTCGCCAGGTTGCTGCAAGGGGACATACGATTTGAGTGAAGCATTAGAAGCCCAGGTCCGCAAGTAAGTGGGCAAGTAAGTAACTCTGCCGAAAAAATATATGACCAAGGCCCTAAGCCCGCTCCGTACCTCGTCCGGAAGTAACTCGCCTAGCCCGCTCCATAAGTGAGATACCTCGTCCGTAAGTAAGGAATAAAGTTTGAATCAAGGAAGAAAGTAAGCAAGCAAGTAAGTAAGTAAGTAAGTAAGTAAGTAAATATGAAGTTGCCCAACCACCCCCGACCCCCCGAGTCAGGTACCGGAAGCACCTGATCTTTAAGGAGGAGGTACCCTCTGACTCTGTGGGGTCGACACTGTTGTGGAAATCCCTGGTCAATACAATGTATAAATAAGCGAGCGCAGCGATGTCTTTTTCGATGGTGAGTGTGAACTCTATGGCAGAACAAGGGGCCCTTAGCCAATATGTATGCGTGATACAAACTGATTGCCTAAATGTCAATGGTCTGCAAAACACAGAACAAAAGAGACACAGATTTCTTCTGACCTTTGGCGTCGAAATATGAACTCAAGGCTCTATGCAGTAGCAATATTTTATATGCGCCGTAGTTATGAGAATACTTGGGTCGGTTTCGAAGATATCAAAAAGGTCACTCTATGTTGTGTCTCCGACATGCCGGATTGTCTGGTATCTACAAGGTTTGTGCAATCTCTGTGCGTGAGAAATGACACGCAAAAGTTGATCTAATTGTGTCAAAGGGTTCTGCATCAGTATGACGTGAAGATGCAATGGCTTGCAAAAGACAAGGACTAGTGTGACTTTGTGAAACTATCGACTCACTCACCTCATACCCTTGTAAACGATGAAGTTGAGACGGCAATCAGAATAGTCTTACAGACGATGAAGTCAATACAGGATCTTGTGAGGATGTTGCTTGGTTGGTTATATCGTTGTGCCATCGGTTGTTGCGCTTGGAAGATGATCATAGCTTGAGAAAGCTGATCATGTCTGTTGTTCTTCAACGCCAACGCTGCTGGTAGTAGTAGTTCTTGCTGTAACTAGTTTCCGATGAATATCCTTTGTCAAGTGCCAACATGTTCCATAGTCCTCGAGTATTAGTGCGACTCGCTCACAGGAGATGGCAACAAGAGTGCCCACACACGCACACACACAGCAAGAACCAGCAGGTCTATCGACCAGATCTTGGACTTCTGAGAACAGCCGTTCGTGAAGCGCAAGATTGCTGGAATCACATGGATAAGATTGAGCTTTGGGATCTCGTCCTTGAAGTCGTTCTTCTCCTTGATCTCTCCATCGGCTCCATATCTGATAGTCTCGGTGCTTGGAGGAAGCAATGTTGTCTGAGAATCCGTGGTCTTTACGTATGGACCTGTGACATGTGCGTGCCAAGGAATCGCGCATCAGCTTGAGGTATATAGTCTTCTGACGTGCCCAAACAGCAGCGGAAATGCGGAATGTGCTTCCCCAGTTTTGGCTCTTCATCGACGCACTTGTTGCTTCGCACGAAACATGCAACCGGTCTTGCTCCCACGCTTTCAGAACGATTCCCTCAAAGCCCGCGTTGATGAGCGCCTTGACCAGTTCATGAGTCTTCTGACCACTTGATGTGTCCGACCTGAAGAACGCGTCGGCTTCATTGACGCAGGTGATGCGGGCGCTGTTGTGAGTACTCTGTCGAACCGCGGGACTCTCGCTGACAGGAATGTCCCTGATGACTCTTCCGTCGTGTGCTCAAGGCCTTCCTTTTCTGTTGACTGAAGAAGTGAGCCCAGGATCTTGGTGAAGGTTTTGATCTTCTGACGGTCTGACCAGTTGTTGATCTTCTTGCTGCCTCTTGGGAGCATTATGGGATAACCTGACCTTAAGCAAGTGAGTCAATCTAGCATGCTGTGATCCCTGTAGCGATGACCCATGATCGACTGATAATCCGACTTGGCCTGGCTGAATTCCTTCTCTGCCTCATCGGTCCAACAAATTTTGGACTTCAAATCTTCAATGATTCCCCTAATTTTGGATTGATCGTAGAATTCGATCTTCGCCCTGACAGACATGAGGTTCCTTGTTGCAGACGATGCGGAGGCCTTGTCATCATCAGTATCTCCTGCTTCCGGGCGTCTTTTGCGAGTCTCTGAGACTGCACTTTGGAGAATTCTTTGCATCTTTCTTGGAGGTGCTTTAGGTTGACAGTAGGATGATCTGTTGGTTTGATGTGGTTGCTATGAGGAAGCTGTCCTTGAGAATTGTCTTGCCCGTGATAGCTGTCCTCTCTCCGGTGATCTTGATGTCGAAGTCATTCTCGGGTGTGACTGCCACGATGATGATCGCATTCCTGCTCGTCGGAACATGCTGCAGCTCTGCGGTGTGAGGTTCGTATGTGTCATGTTATCATCGACTCGCCCTGTGACTCGCCTAGCCCTCCGTAAATATCGTCCGTATGTGAGGAATAAGGGAAAAAAGAAAGAAAACCCCACTCCGTAAATTCCGTCCGTAAGTGAGGAGTAAGGGGGTAAGAAAGAAAGAAAGAAAGAAAGAAAGAAAGAACGAAAGAACGAAAGAAATAAAGAAAGACAGACAGACAGACAGACAGACAGACAGACAGACAGACAGACACACAGAAAGAAAGTATGTCGCTAACCTCCCGATTCAATCCCGATTCAATGACCAAGGCCCTAGCCTGCTCCGTACCTCGTCCTTAGGTAGCTCGCCTAGCCTGTTTCGTAACTAAGATACCTCGACCGTAGGTAAGGTATAAAGGAAGAGAGCAAGTAAGTGAGTGAGTGAGCAAGTAGAGTAAAGTAAAGTATTTACAGTACAGTGAAGTAAGTAACTAACTCAGTAACTAAGTAACTAACCAACTACCTGACTGACTAACTAACTACCTGACTGACGAACTAGCTAACTAACTACCTATCTAATCAACCAACTAACTAACTAACCCCCTCCTCCCGGAAAGAATGACCAAGGCCCTAGCCCGCTCCGTGCCTCGTCCGCAAGTATCTCGCCTAGTCCGCTCCGCAAGAAAAAGATACCTCGTCCCGAAGTCCCGAAGTAAGGAATACAGGCAGTAAGACAACAGGACTGCTCTGGTCCAACAGGAAAGCGTCGCGTGATAGCTGAGATGGTGCGAGGTGTGGGCGGAAGCATCCACTTTGAAGCGGCGATGTTTTGTTTGCCTGGGCGGAGCGGATCCGGGTGAGCTCAGTCTGCTTTGGGGAAGTCCAGAGACGCCGACGGTCGACTTTCCTCGCGATTCACGCAGGTGACTTTATCCACTTCGCCGACACCAGCAGCGCGCAGGGTATTCGGGAAAGTCCGGAAGCAAAATGACAAGTCGCACAAGGCTGCCGAAGATGGCGCACTGCGGGAGCCAGCGCTTGGAACAGGGTGGGCGGCATGGCATGTTCAATGATTGATTGCACAATGCCATTCAGTGCCATGTGGCAGTGAACATCCACGAACCAACTGTTCAGAAAGGGCTTGATTTTGTTGCACATTTTACATGCTTCTGTGGCCATTGTGACGCAAAGCTTCCAGCGCTTCCAGCGCTGCCTCTTAGTTAGCTTGTGCATTTGCTTAATGTATTGCACCTGCTCGTTTGCTGGTTTGGCCCTCCGCGACCCTGTCGATTTGGGCTCAAGTGCACATTGTGGCCGACCATGTGAAGTGAGGCCTCCACATCGCAGAGCCAACCATCCAGACGTGCCATGAGAGACGTCTCGATATCCGGAGGGAATCCGTTGGATATCATGTGCTTTGGGCAGAAAAAACAACACACACCACAGAGAGAGTCATTGCAGATGTGAGGGGGTCGCTTTTTGGTGTCCATGGCGCCGCGATGGCGACAGCAACCCTGGGACAGAACACTTTCCAAGGTGCCAGCGAGTGAAGACAAGAAGAAGGGAGAGTGCCTGACCGCCAGCCACACATTCAGGGACTTCAGGGACTGTCGGCGGATTCAGCAATTCATCTCGACCCCGGAATTGTAAGCCTGGCAGACCAGAACCCCAACTCCCCATGTACACAGCGGCAAGCCTCAGCGGAGCACCTGTCATGGTACCTTGAATCCTGTTATTGGTCGCAGGGTTTTTGGGGTTTTGAAAACCCAGGGAGGGAGTCGTGTTCATATTTTGTGGCGACATGGAATTTCCGGGCGCATCCGTGGAGCGGTCCATGTTTGGATGGTTCTGAAAGGAAACCAGAAAGCCAAATCGCGGCTGGAACAGCAACTTGTCCTTTTTGAAGCTGCCCTTTTGGGGGTGGCTTAAAGCAAGACCAGAAATTTGGGAGGTCCCTAGTTTGAAACATGTTCGTGCTAAACTGCGGGATCTCCTGTTGGATTGCCTTCAAAGGAAAGCCAACAGAAGTGCAGCGAAAAAATAGCTCATGTGGGGAGAGCAGTAAGAACCCCCTAATGTGTGAGGAACCCCTGCGAAGGGGTGGGGGTGGGAAGGTAAGTTGCTCTTCAAAGCGACCCACCTTGAGCATGTAAAAGGAGTAGTAATAGGAAGCTGAGCTTTAGAACTCAATGTCGTGCTACCACGCTTTGCGTCAGTCTTACGAGTGATTGGTGTTTAGGAAATTGTACAAGGAATCAGCTGCTGTGCGCATGGCAAAACCAGTCACAGCTTTTGGATGATACGACAAAAGAGAAACTAGCGGCATGACAAGGGAACCAATATGAAACAGCAAACTCACGCGCACGGCTATCCCCCGCCTTCAAAACGCCTCCCACAAAACCACGGCACGTGAAATGCGGGAACCGCCCCGCAAAATCCGCAAACCTTTGAACCCACCGGGCAAAACCCACACCCAAGCGAAACTGCCCCGACCCCGGGCAGGCCGGGGTCGCAGCCCGCCGAGGGCACCCAGCGGAGCGGCTCGGACTTGACTTTGGACCCCAAAAAAGGGATGGGCAACAAAGCTATGAGGCAGCCAAGCCCCCCACACACACAGACATCTCCTAGGGATATTTGTAGGCAGGGATTTGTAGGGACACCACGAAGGCTCTGGAGAAGAAACTAGCTCTTCAGAAGTTTGTTTAAGGGGAGCCCTTCCTTTCGGTTTCCCTTTCAAACAACCCCCTAAGCTTTGCCCTTAAAACAGAAACACGGCCCCCACTGGCTCGCTCACTGCACAGTTTGGTGAAAGTACACGTCGCACTTCCTTCCCCCCAAAATTTGCCCGTCCCCCTCACTTAGCTTACCCCATTTAAGGAGTGGGACTTACCCCATTCAAGGAGGGGGTGCCATTCGCTGAGCTCCAGAGGCCGGCCTGCCGCGGCCCTGCGGCCTGAGCTCCAGCGCCCGGCCCCAGCCGCTGGACTGCCTCTTCGAGGAGGAGGCGGGGGGGCGCTCGGCGACGCGACTCACACGTCCGGGGGTTGTTGCCCAGATTGGGCTGGCTGAAGGCTGAAAGGATCAGTGCCTATGAGGTCGGCTGAAATGTCAAAAAACACTCTGCAAAGCAGGAAATCTAGATCAGATGGCGATACTAGCATGTTTGCGCTATATGGTTCTGTTCAGGTATGGCTCAAAATGCAAAAACACCATCAGTGGTTTGCGAAGGTTGCAAGGGTTGCGAAGGAAAAATACTCTTTCCATTTTGGGAACGTGATGGGCGATCGGGTTTTGGAGGTTTGGGGCTCGAGAGTTCGTGAAGGATCCCAGGTGTAGGATATCTTCGGGGCAACTTGGAACCTTTGCCCACAGGGCGCACTCGAGAAGAGGGAACCCTGAGGCTTGGAATGCGCACCCAGTGAAGGATGGCCCTCCTCCTTTGCCTTGCATGTTCGTTTTCGGGGGATTCCACTCTCCAGAACGCGGGAAGACCAGTGCCTTGGGTTCGGAAGGGCGACGTGCCCGGTTATTGCATGGCTTCATCACATGAGTGGCGTGCGGGGTTTGGGCGGCACACCATCTGTGGGCAAAAGGGATGCTGCGTTTGAGCACCAATTGAATTCAGCTCCCAGGGTCTCCGGTTGCCCGAATGCCTCGGGATTAATCGTGCCGGGAGTCATTCAAACCGACATGTGAATCTTCAACTGGGGGAGGCCCACTTTGTTTGGTAGATTGGGTCCACATGGATAGGTGTCACCAAAATGGTGGCTTTCGTGTTGGTTTGCCTTACGCGACCTGAAAGGGCACCCTCAAAAAGCACACACACACACATGTCTGCCTGCAGGAGACCCGCGATGGCAGCAAGAGCTTCTTGGATGCAGCCAGAAACCAGTGTCGCGAGATGGGCGATATGTTTTGCAAGGTGAGGACGCTGGTCTTGGATCCTTTTGCTAACACGTCCTAAGCTCCAGCTTCCAGGTCCCCCCATGGCCCCATGCGCTAGGTCCCTTCTACCACAGCATGGGCAGCACCATGGGCAGCGCCATGCTGTTTCCGCCGGATGACTTGGGCGCGCCACCGGGCTCAAGTCATCGCGCTGCCTGGGCCCTCTATGGGTACTCGTGCTTTCCCTAGAACTGGGCCAGTCAGGGCAATGGATCCTTCCCTTGGGGTGCCATGTCTTCCTAGGGACTGTGGAAGATCGAACATTGAATTCGTTTTGAACAGCCCAGACAAAGTTCCGCCCCCCAGTTGTCCAGTGGCACCATTCCCCGTTTCGTTGGGTGTGTCCAAAAAGGGTTCCTTTGCTCTACCGTCGCTGGGCAACTGGGTCAACCCCCCGAACTTGGACGGTCAACAAAAACGATCTAAAAGGGAAACCCAGCCCCCCCTTTGTACAAACAAGCGTAAAAAGTGTGCAACGGATTTCGGTAGCAACTGGGACCCCCCTTCCTCGCTCTCCCAAAGCCCTGTTGTTTTTCCAGTTTGCTCCAGTTCTCGTCAAGATGAAAAGTCCAGCAGCTGTCACTTCGTATGATTCTTGGAAAGCTCGGGACCTTTTATCTCCAGGGCCTGCGGGCCGAGCAGTCCTCTGTTTTCAAGGCCGGCAGCTGTCCACTTCCATGTTGGAAAAGGGGCACCCCAACTCAAGAGAAGGGAGCACAGGCTGGGGCCGGACACTTCGTAAATGGCTAGGTACCATGCTTGTAAGTTCTAAAGTTATAAGCCATAACTTTGCAATGGAAGAATAGCAAGCCAGAACTCACTCAGGTTGGAGGTAATATAGCCTCCTTACACCATGGTAAGGCAGAACCCACTTGTTTTTCTACTTCATCCTGGCAAGTTCCAACTCTCAGGAGGGCCACGGTTCGCAGAACTCCGCGGCGACCCGAGGCCGGGTGGATTCCTCCGGGGTTCTGCCCCTGTTTGGGTGGTTTTAAAGATCACCCTGGGGCTTTTGTCGGGAACTCCTTAAGGGAGAAATGTAGGGAATCCCGTCAACAGGGGCCCAACGATGTGTAGGAAGACCTATGCAATTATGTGATTGTGAATGGTGTTCGTTGTATAAATCCAGCGATGGATGGCTGATGTCCGCCAAATGTCCAACCCCTAAGATGCAGTCCCTCGATGGTTTCCTCGGGGCTTGCCCCAAGTTTGGATGCACTAGCCCTGAGAAAGATTACACCTCGACGAACAAGGCATCGAATCAACCAAAACGGGACAATCCGCTTGAAGTTTTGCATTTGGCCCATTTGAAGAGCATCGCAATGTATCACAGCCGACTGTCAGGTGGCTCCCATGGCTCCCATGGCTCCCAGGGAGATTCTCGAGGCCGCCTGGGATGACTTGCTTGAGACGGGATGGAAAGTTGCGCTCCCCTTGGCGAGCCAAAATGCCTCCACCCTGCCCGTGTTTGCCTTGCGCAGCTTTGGGTATATGTTCTCTGCACTTCTGGGGGCATTTTGGAAAGGGAGACCAAAAGGCGACCGATTTGTGGCGGCCCCTGGTTTTGCGAAACTAGCGGAGGACCGGAAATGTGAAAAAGGACCAACACGTCGATCGCAGGCGGAGGATGAGGCCTACTACAGCGAGCCCGAGCGGGAGGTGCCTTTTGTCAGGCCTGCCAGTATAAGCCCAAAGCGGCCCGCAGGGAGCCCCAATAAGGAGTTGATTCTTGCACATGAAAGAGTGAAGGAGCCAAGCTTTGGGGGGGGTCCAAATTTGCATGTAGAGCTACCAGCAGTTCTGTAAGGACACCAGCGGTACTTTTTTTGACTAGCTTTCTTTTGAGGACTTGAACCCCTGGTTCCTGTTGGGAAAACAACCCGCAGACCACCTCAGCACCAATCCAAACCACCAACTGGAAGGAAGCTGAGCTTGAAAGGCCTACTTAGACATGGCCCACTTTGTTACCACAGCAAGGGTCAAATTTGTCCTTCGGAAGGACCTGCTTTGGTGTTGACCGCTGGCTTTTGGCCCGCAGGACCCCCAAGGAGCTGCCGCGCTGCGAGACTTTGGGGGACTTCTCCACGTCCGCGGAGGATGCGGCTCGAAGAAGGATGATGGGCCAACGGACAACGCGAACCCTAAAGATAGGTTGGCTTCCTTTTGTGGACCCGAAGGGACAAACAACAAGTCATTCTTTTTGGCTTGCTCTCTTAAAACCATCCGGAAAGGTTTCCCCATTCTTTGCAGGGACCCTTCTTTCATAGTGCCGAAGAATGATGGGTGAAAGGAATGCGGAATCAACCCTTAGAACCCCGAAAATTGGCCCTCTGGGTCCTTTTTCAACCCTCCAAAACTGTGTTCGCCAGGGATTTCCTTTGGTTTCATTCTCAAGCCAAAAGAGGCTTCCTACTTTGGACATTTCACAAAAACAGCTCTCAAAGTTTACCAAGGTCATTCTCCGCTCATTTTTTTCCCGTTCGGTGAGCTTCGTGGCACGCCCAGTTTGGACGTCCGGACGGGCACGCAACCCGCTCCGAAGGTGCCGCGCCCCGCGTCCCTTCAGCCGGTGGCCAAGTCCCCCCGCCGGCGCCGGAGCCGCGACGGCCGCGACGCGAACCGCGCCTCCTCGGGGTCCTCCCGGTCGGCCAGGCGCTGGGCTCAGTTGAGTGGAGCTGATGGCCCAAAAGCTCGGCGATGTTCCACTGGAAGAGGGGGTCTTGTTGTTTGAGAGTACCTTTTTTGGTGGGGGGTCCCATACCCAAAAACACCCCTCCCATATTTTGCTAACATGGTCGATCGCGTTTTTGATGGCAGCACTTAGTCAATGGGGACAAAGTACCCGGGCTACTAAGCACTGGGTATAGATCTTGCCCCTTTGAGTTGGGGATGGACCCAGACTCCTTGCCGAGCCTATGGGAGCGGTGTTTGCTACATGGTCCGGAGGTCTCCTTCCGACGAGACTTGAATAATGGCTCGGGCTGGAATGTTTGCGTGCTATGCTTGGCACATCTTTTTGGTCTTTAGCACCTGAATGTGAACGCCACCGGTTCCAGCATTTCGAAGATGTATTCTATACGCTGTTTTCTGCTTGCAGAATATGAACCTCGCAGGAATTGTCGGTTTTGCACTTATGTTGCCTGAGTTGAGCAACCCCCGGCCCGACGCATCGCATATGGCGTCAACTTGTGACAAAACACTCAGCTGCAAGATCATTTGCATCCAGTGAGACCCTGTTACCATGCACCACCATGCTACTTGGATGGAGATTCAACCTCCTGACTGGGAGATCTCATGCGGTTCCTAGAAGACACAGTCTTTCCACCGAAAGAAAAGAGCCAAGTTTGAGTTGTTTCCAGCATGGTGGCGGTTGAGGGAGGGCCATTTGCCTTGGCTTTGCGAGGCGAGTGGAGCACAGCTGCGTGGTTGCAGGGTCCCACCATGGGCCCCATGTCACTCCCTGAGTTGCTGGACTTTAGACTTTTTGGGTTTGGACCATTTTGGCGGCGAACAAGAGTTGGGACTTTTTTTGGCTCAGGAAGTGGACCATACAAACATTTGACGCTTTGGGGGGTGAAGGTTTTCAGTTGACCAGTGGCGCCATTTTTCGTTCGCAGTTGGTCCGCCAGTGACCGTGACATGCATGCCAGTTGGCGGATTGATCATTAGGAAATCACATGCTTCAAAAGTCGAAACTAGAATCATTTGAAGCGGTCCTGTCTGGACGCGCTCCGCATGCGCATGCTGGGTTGCATGTGAGCATCACAGTTTCTGCCTTCCCCCTAGATTTGGGACCCTTGGCTGTTTGGCGATGTCAGTGTCGCATTTTTCAGTTTGGGAGTGCGCAGACATGTCTCTGCGTGTTTGGCTTGCAGCATGTGTCAGCCGTGCAGCTGAATCTGCCAGCAGTGAGTTGAGCCCAAGACCATGATTCAGATTTCCGGAAACCATCGTAAGAGTCCTAGGTTTGCAATGTGGCTATGAAGCATGAACCTCCTTTCAGAGGAGTTGGACGGGCAACCCCCACAAAAAACAATCATCCAGAGGGGCCCAAGCCCCCCTGCTTGCACAAAAATCAACGGAGCATGCCCGGGTTTGGCATGTCTCGGACGGGCAGGCAAGGTTGCATGATTCACTTTCTGAAACTTATTGAATGCGCGGAAAGGTGAGCCACAATCAAAACCCGGGTAGATGAAGGTTAGTAAGGGATACGCCCAACTATAATTAGCTTCGGCCACCTTCTAATTCTTTACATGGTTCAGGGTAGACCATTTTTAATACCGGGTTTTGATTACGACTCAGGTGAGTGTGAGGCCCAATTTCCTTTCGAGGCCCTGCGCGTACGTCGGCCTCCACCGCGGTCTCGGCGGCGAAGTGCGCGGCAAAGTCGGTGGCTGCGGCAACGCGAGAGGTGGGGACAACGGGGGCGAGGGAGGGAGGGAAGGTAGAGCGAAAGGAGGACATGTGGCCTACAAAAAAATGTAATTGGAACATCCATCCAAAATGACGGACGTACCAACCGTGTGAAGGATGATGAAGGACGGAATGATGTCCCAATTCGTTTCCCGCTAATGAAACTCATAAGCAAGCAGTATTCTTGGGCGTTTCAGCGTCTGCCAAACCCTTGCAGAAGCACAAGTTATCTATCAGTCACGTGTGACCTCCCCGGAGCTGCGGAGCATATTCGGCCAAAAATGAAGCGCAAGGCGGCGCACCTTGGCACCAAGATCCACAGACAGCATTTGCTTCTCCCAAGGCGTACTCAAATATAGAAGGCACCCGTTCCATTGGGTCTAGGATGTGGGTTGCGGTAAGAACGTGTTGCCAAAAGGGGCCAGGTCTCATGTCTCCCCCATGCGAAGCTGACTTCTTCGGAGAAGGTACTTGGCCGAGTGCGTGACTTGTTTGGAAACAGGAAACAGGGCCTGACAGATTCCATGTAGGGTACCCTCTTTCCAACAACAGGTCTTCGTAAGCACTCCAATAGCCTGCTTCCGCAAATGGGAACTCCTCAAAATAGGGTTGGTACTTTCCTTCTCAAAACCAACCAAAAGGGATGCCCCATGTTTGGACGCACAACATCTGATTCAGGGACTCAGAAACGACTGCGCTGAAGGCCGTTTCAGCAGCAACAACATTTCCCGCTTCAGCAACTGCGTCTGAGAAACTAAGATGCAAGGCGCTTCAGCAACTACAAAAGCCGCTTCAGCAACACCAAAACTGCCTATGATGGTGTGGGGCTGGGGGGGTGGGGACTGTTGACATTCCTTTGAAGTTGAACGCGCAACCATGTTTGTTTGCACCCGTGACTTGTTTGGTTGACAGCGTGTTTGGACATCCCCGTGTAGAGTCAGGAGCCTCAGTTCCTGGACTGGCTCGCCGACGAGCTGCAGAGCCGCCCGGACGAGGTGCGAAGCTTTTCGGGTTTGGGTCTGGCCGCCACAAACACGCCTGGCGCGGAAAGCGGTTGGGATCAAACAAGGGTGGGCTTTTTCGAGGGTAGCCTTTGCGGGCTGATCTGAGGGGAAATCACAAGGAACGCCACGATTTTGAAGGGTCTGCTATTTTGACACACAGGATAGGATTGGTGAGTCTGAGTCTGGGTGACGGGGTGGGGAGGCGGTTGGCGTTTTCGCCGCAGTTGGCGGGGCGAGCAAACGACCTCGCGCCTCCCTTTGTTCATGAACATGTTCCCCGTGCTGGGGACAAATTTTCTTCTACAAGGGACCCTGTGGTGGTTCCATGGCAACCTGGACGGGAGGGCACTCCTTTTCTCAGGAGGATTTCCGGCTTTTGGACCGGTCCGTCCCTTTTGGCCGGTTTTTCGGAGGTCAATTAAACCAAAGCCAGGAACATCAGAAGGGAAAGCTCAGGGTATTTCCACAGGTCCGTTCACCCAAATCGTTTGGTCGCCAAAACGGGTTCCAGGAGCAGCTGCCGCGGGTGCCGCGCAGCCACTTGGAGGAGGTGGCCAAGGTGCCGCCGCAGCTGGAGAGCCTTGGCTGCTGTTCACTCCGGCCAAGCCGTGCTGGTACGCGGTGTGCGTGTGTGTGTGTGTGAGGGCATCACAGATTGATTTGGTTTATCTTTGGTACAGTCCTGACCAAAGAAGGCAGAACCTTGACGCCTTCCGTTTACATCTTGCACCATGCTCAAGTGGGCGGAGGGATGCGTCCATGTGTGAAACCTGGGGGTCTCTCCAAACAATTGGTATCATGTTCCTTTCTCTTGAAAGATCCCATCCTAAAAGGGTTGGTTTCCCTTCAAAAAAGGCCAGTCCCAAAATGGTCGGCTCCCGTAAACCCGTCCCAAAACGGCTCCAACTGGTTTTGATGTGGGACTTCAGGAAGCTCCTGCTGCTGGGCTTCCTTTTGTGCCTGGACATCCTGTTGCACGAGCTCAGCTTCACGCCCTTGCAGGCAGGACTTTGACTCGGCAAGAGAAACCCCCTCGTCCTAGGGACACAGAGGTAGAATATTGGTTAGGGCTTGCCTCTATCAATAAATTTGGGGACAATTTGGGGTAAATTGGCGGTAAAGAGTTGCTGCTACAGGCAAGGCATAAACAAATGGCATTCCCTTTTGCCTCCCTTTTCCGGCTCAAGACCCTCCACCAAAATCCCGATGGGCCAGGGAGGAGAACCTTTGCCTAAAACGAACTCGGTTTTAGGGCGGGGGTCCTTGCATTTTAGTTTTGGGAGGGAACCACCATTGCAGATGCATGGCTATTTCAAGCGTTCCCACTGCACTGGTGCAAGCTTTGGCGGAACATCTCAGAACCCAAAACCCTTGGTCGAGGACGTTTCGAGTTAGAGTTTACTCCCTGGTTCAAAAGGGATTTTGGTCGAGGCATATTCGTGAGGTGAGGTTCCAAATATCAGGCTTGACCAAGTGGCAGAACGAAGGGTGAATGGTTCTGGGTGCTTACGGAACCAATTAAAATGAAGGAACCTGCCTTCCAGGTTTACATTAACTGGGTAGCATATGGACTTGAGGGTGGCGGCTCCTCAGAAAAGGGGGGCAACACCTTTTGTGAACAAGGAGTGTGCGAATCGCCAACTTAAATGTACAAGCCGCAAACCCACAGGAGCATTGAACGCATTTCCAGAGTCAAGCCACGGCTGGTGATGCTGGGGGAGAACATGTTATTACGCGGACACTGATGGTGTTGGGGATGCAGGGGATGCAGGGAATGTAGGGGCTGTGACAGATGTTGGGGATGCCGGGGATGCTGGCGGGGCTGGGGATGTGCAGATCTTGGGATGCAGGGGACTCTCAAACAACGGCCAAGCCCACATCAATTGCCACACTGATTCTCCACTCGCTGCTGTGGCCTCGTTTCCATTTGTATGTCCATCTTTTTTTTAAGCATGAGTTGCCAAATGTCACTCTTCAGAAGGGACATCATTGAGCATGACAGCTCATGTCACGGGCGACCGTCATGACTGGAAGCGCACGCACTCACCACAAAATCCTCGGCCAGTTGCAGAGAATACAGGCCTCTACGCCTGGTCCAAGAATCCGGTAACCAGGTTGACCTTGTTCAACATGAGCTCGTTGGACGAGTTGTGGAACTTAGGCCCCTCGCCCCTCACCGAAGCAACCCTGAAAGCGGAGTCTCGGCCAACCGGCCGCGCCGAATTCGAGGCACTGCGCTCCTCCCTGCAGCTGCTATGCAGCTGGGCGGTGCCAGGCAGGAAGGGATGGACCCCGCGGGTTCCACGTTTAGCCTTCAGACTCATGGCATCCTGGCCAGGCGCCAATGAGGCTTTGCAAGAGAAGGGGGTATGGTGTGTTCGGGACGGAGCTTCTGTGCTAGGGCCCTTGCAATTTTGATCACTGTGTCACAAAAAATGCGTTGGAGTTCTCCAAAATTGGTTTCAAAACGGAGTTCTCCAAAATGGTTCCCTTTCCAATTCGTCTCCCGTTCCAGTCGTTTCGGTAAGCCGGAAAGCCTTGCCTGGCAGGCCTGGAAGTGCCGGCCTCAGCAATAGAGGGCGTCCCTTGGTGGCTTCGTTTGGGGGGGGGTCAAATGGGGGTGTCTTTTGTGGTACCGTTTTTGGTGGGTTGTAAAGGGAAACCAAAAGGAACATCTTTTTTTGGGGGGTCCCCTCAAAAAACGGAGTATAAATGGGTGCTTCTGCAAAATGAGTTGGACCCTTCTAGGTAGTTTCTTTCCATTTTTTTTGCGTCCAGAAAGACGCACATGGCAGGTGGCCAAGTCCATGAGACCAGTTGCCGCTTCTGGTGGCTTGATGAGACGTCAGGAAAGGCACCCCTCCACTCAAGGCATCCCTGGGGTGGTTTCGTTTGATTTGGGATCCCTCTGTTTGTGGGGAATCAGCCGGAGAATTCACGGTTCCCGGCCATTTTCGGGAACCAACCCTGACAAGCCCTTCAAGCGGTCATCCCCCACTCCAGGCACGCCGAAAAGCTCTGACCATCACAGAGCAAGGCACATCGGGGTTGGCCGACGGGCGTCCTGAGTTTCTCAGTGGGAAAAAGTTTTGCGTTTCGTTCCCAAACAGGTGGCCCGCCCTTCGGATTGCAGCCGAGCGGAAACCCTCGCTATGGTATCAAGACGAGGAGGCCCCTAGTTCCATTGAGTTGAGAACCAAGCAGAAACCATTTGGATGGGCTTGGCGGTGGCAGTTCCCGTTTGGCAGGCGATTTTCTGCGTCTCTCCCTGCTGATTTTGCAGCTTGGCAGTCATGAGAACACTCTGTGGTGCTTGGCCTGCTTGGTCAGAGGTGAGGGGCGGGGGGGGGTTGGGCTTATCCAAGGAATGTGACGCTCATTCTGATGGTTTTCGACGTTTCCTGGCCTCTCGCCTGCTGTGAGTTTGCCGTCTGACATTCTCTTGACCTGTTGAGTTACGTTTAAAGCTTTACCCTTCCACCAAACGTGGATGTTGCGCAGGCTCCCATAACAGGTTTCTTGGTGGGAGGGTGCAGCCTTTCGCTGAGGATGTACCACTACATCCGGGGCGAATCATTCTTGAAGCTCTACGTGCTTTTCAACATGCTGGAGACTTGAATGTATGAGGGTCACAAGCCCTTAGGGTCGAAATGGGCTTGAACAGAGGTCGACTTCCAACATGGTGTTTGTTTGATTGATTTCCCTTCAAACAAAGCTAAGTAAAGAGTACCTGAAAAGAGATACTTGAAACACGGATGCCCTAGCTCCCTTGGGCTGAACCCCTCGAGCATCAAGTCAAATACCCTCGTCAGTTCGACATCTCAAGCATCTTGAGCAGAGCAAGCCAAAGGGATTGGACAGTCTTGCACCAGGTGCTTTATCCCAGTTTTTTTTTGGGTTGCATCCATCCGAAAAAAAACAGGATTTGGCTCATCCATCCACGTGGCTCCCACCTGCTTCGCCCAAGAAAAGGGCCCAGAATGAGGAGATGTTCGAGCGCTGGTGCAGATCGGTGGGCGTGGACTTGTTCGACCTGCTCCTGGCCTCCGTTCGGCAGCCCTGGCGCTCGCTGCTGCTGAAATACGCGGTGACCCTCGCCTACTGCGGCTCGGACGCACGGTCCTCCGACGGCCCTCCCCCGAAATCAGCGGCTCCCCTTTGGGTCGCCTCTGTGTGCTGTAGATGAGCTCTGATGTTCCGATTGGAGACGAGTTTTTGTGAATATCATCGGGAACCGTGGTAGTTCTAACACGAGCAACTGGAAGAGATGCTTCAGGAATGGTGACGCCCTGAGGGGTGCGATGGCTGGATGTCGCAGCAACTGCATTTGGTCGAAGTCTTTTTTTGGGTGTGTCAATAAAAGAAAGGAGCCAACTATTTTGGGGCCCTTCGTACGCCCATTTTTGGGAACGCCCTCATGTCATCAATCATGAGGCCGTGTGAGTCCAATTTTGCGCGGTTTGAGGCTTTGTTCACGCCACCATGCATCTCATCCGGGTGATCCTGCTGAATGTGGCCATCAACACATCCTCGAACGCAGTGTTCCTGATCATTGCAGCTTGGATCTGCGCTTTTTCGCCTGGTGAATTGGTGAGGTTCGACTGACTTTCTTGCAGGTGACACGTGTGTGTGTGTGTGTGTGTGCGCGTGTGCGTGTGCGGGTGCGTGTGCCCTTCGTCTGACACAAACCAAAGCCAAACTCACTCTTCATCTTCAGCAAGGCACTGCAGGGACGCACCCCTCAAGGGCAAGAATTGGGAGCCAAGGTTCACTTCAGCTTGCCAAAATTTGTCCATTGTAGCGCTTGTTTTGTTATTTTTCAGGCTGGCAGAAATGAGTTGCATGCTTGGGCCAGGTGACCAACAACTTTGCAGAGATCAAGTCCACCGTTTTCAAGCGATACGAGGAGAAGAGCCTTTTTCCCATCATCACCAGCGACATGGTGGAGCGCTTCTACCTCCTCCTGGATATCCTCTTCGTTCTGGCGAGGTTGATGCTCGTCAGAAGCCCCAAAATCGATGCCCCTGAAGAGGGAGTTGCCAAAATGGCCTGAGTTTCCGCTGGCTGATCTCTGGAATTCTGGGACTGGAGCTTACACGGGACGCTCTGAATAGGATCCAACAAAGCCAAGGAGCATTTCTCAGCACTCTGGCACCTTCACAGCCCTGGACGTCTCCTTCTGGCACCTTGGCACGCACGCCAAAAGCAGGCAAAGCGGAAGCAAAGCATGCAGCTATGGACAAAGGGGCCAGTTGTATACTCAATATGCATCAATATGCGTAGTTAGTCATCGTGGTGCAAGTATGTACCTTGCACCAAGTGGTTTTTTCTGCACGCCTGAAATTTGCATGTTACAAGATAGATGGAACGAGTGATGACTCGAACATTTTCTTATATACTTGTTATTGTCTCTTGCATACCCAAGCGTGCCTTGTTTGTCTCCTGAAAGCAGAGGTCGGAATATTGGCTCCCCTTCTTGAAAATGTCAAGCCAGCTGGTTTGCGGATTTCTTGCAGGGCAGTGTCAATGAATTGTGTTTTCTTGATTTCCCTGTAAGCCAACCCCAAAAAGGGTGCCGTGCCTAAAACAAACGCAGGCTGTTCTTGCTGGTGGTGCTAGAGATCGGCACCGACTGGATCAAGTTTTGCCTGATCACGAAGTTCAGTGAGATGCAGGCCAAAACCTTCGAGGCGTGAGTCTTGCTTGATGGAACTGGCAACTCTGTTGCCAAGGGAATGCCCTGAATCCAAGAATGAGCCCCAAGACAAACCCATGAGTTTCCGCACACGGTGTGCTGCCCCTGGTTTTTGCCTCCGCACCCAGCAAAGTTGAGAATGCATTATTTCCATTACCTCTCTCCAAAAAGTTTTCGTTCACACCCGAGGGAACCTCTGTAGCAGTGAGCCAACAAACTAGTGGTAAACCCTTCTTGCAGGAGACGGGCAGATATCCGGCGTGGTCGCCAAGTGATTTGCACACCCGCTCAAGAGCACTGGCCCATACGTCCGACATACTGTAGCATTCATTGCATTGTTGTTCTGGTTGGGAATGAAAGGATGCGAGCGTTTGGCCCACAATTTTCGCAAAGTGCTGGGATTGTGGCTGGGGGCAGTTCGGCGGAAGAAGCAAAGTACACCTGGAAGACGAAGTAGACACCAAGCCCGATTTGAGCCAAAAGGAAAGAAAACCAGGTGTCCCTCCGGATTGATCCAAAGCTGACAATCTGCACTGGGAACTCCCTCAATGCTTACTAAGATAGTTGTGTTGTTGTTTTGTTGGCAACTATCTGCACGAGCACCCATGTTCCTTTTGTTTGAGGCGTTTCAGCCCTCTGCTCTTCACCTTTGGAGCGAGGGTAAAACTCCAAGAGCCTTGAAGAAGTGCAAATCTCCTTAGCTGGAGAGCCTCGAACCCCAGGCAAATCTCTTGAACTGTAAGGGAATTTCAGTTGTCTCTCCCATCGTAGCTTCGGGTTCTTGCCCGGGCAAGTCTGAGAGGTCTACAGGGAGGTGCTGATGGCGGATATCCTGCTCTGTAGATGCGGCCAGCTGAGTGGCCAGGCCTCGGCATTGGTTCGTTGGTCGTTGGCTTGCAGCTTTTGGGAAGCAAGGCGATAAACCTCGAGACATGGTTCAACTTGTCCAAGGGGAAGAACTGCACAGGATTTGTTTTGACAGCTCTTGACTTATTGATGGTGAGCTGTGCCAATCTCGTCCGGAGAACGTGTGTCGTCTTGGCTTGCCACTTTCCCAAGCAAGTCTTCAGCAATGCTCAAAGTCTTCGCAGGTTGCTTGCGCAGGTGACTTAAGCTACCTGATTTTACCCATATGGTCTAGCAGGATCATAACAAAACAACATGTCGCCTTCTCACCATCGTGACAGAGACAATCCGCGCAGAAAGTCCTTGTGGCTGCTCGATTCTCCACCAGGTCTGTTCAAGGGTTCATCTGGCTCACAGCTTAGCAGTACCGTGGCTGGTTTTGAATGTTTGCTTGAGGCCAAAGGGCACCTTTGGTCCTTTGGTCCTTTGGTTTGTCTGATGTCCGAAGGCTTGTTGCAACAAGCCCCTTGGGGCTCCCTGTTTTTGGCGGCACTGGCAGGCCAGCGGCAGTGCTGATCCTCCAGATGGGCATGCTCTCGGCATCAAGGCGTGATTGCTGGTGATTTGAGGCTTGTTCGCGGGTCGCACGCAGAACTGTTGGTCCTGATGCATGGCCAGCGGTCGTGTTAAGAATGCAAATGACGAGTGATCCACACGACTAAACGGGATTCGCACCCCATCAGAACAACCAGTTGTCACCCAACCAATTGTTTTTGGTTGCTTTGGGGCTCCAATTGCCGTCCTTCCCCCCAAAAAAAGAAAGGAAAACAACTCTTGAGACCGCTGCCCCGGCCGAGGACGGCGCCTTGTCTGCGAGCTTGGCGCGGGGCTTTTTTTTTAACCTCCACGAAGCTTCCCGTAGGAAGCTGTTCTTCCTGAACCACAATGCAGATAGGACTTCCCCCGTTCAACAGATTGGGGTGCAAGAGAATCTCAAGGAGGTTGTCTTTTTCGGGACAAATGTGGTAAACCTACCATCCCTGAGGTTTATTAGGTTGTCTTGAACTGATGCCGGAACCCGAGAGCAAAAGCAGTTTCTTTTGGTTTCCCATCCTTGTCCCTATAAGAAATGGATGTGTGCCATTTGAAGCAGGGAGGGCACTGAGGACGTTTGCTGGGAGGCGTACTAAGGCGGCAAACGTGGGGGCAGCTTGATGTTGAGGTCGGTAGGTCCGATTCCTTGCCAGCGTTGTTTTCGAGCAGAAGTAAGCTTGTGTGTACCTCTTGGGTCGGGGTCACTTGCATTGTACGCTTCTTTGGGAAGTAGTATGAACAACAGCAAGCGTCCCAAGAGGTATGTACAGCCCCAAGACATTGGTCGTTGCTGCGCTCATTCCTGTTTCCAGCCTTGGGGGGACAACAGGCCACAGGAAAAGGTCGTGGACCGCTGAGTCAAAGCCTGGATGATAAGGCAAAGACGGCAAAGACGGCAAAGACCGGCATCCGGGGAAAGAAAAGCCCGGCGCTCAGACTCTGAGGTGTCGACACCTTTGCTCGATTGGAGGCCAACGAACATCCTCCCTTGGTTGGAGCAGTTCTGCTGAGGGGAGAGAGAGAGAGCGAAAAAGAGAGGGAGAGAAAAATGCAAGAAAAACCAAAAACAACTCTAGCTGCAAAGCAGCCCTTCAGGCCCGTGCCGACGGTGCCCTACCGGGGCATCCACTCTTTCAGCCATGTACTGCAGAGACGCCTCGGCTTCAGCGGAGTGCCCATGACCCGGGCGCGTTCTCGCCGGGCTGAGGGGTCGGAAGGTGTGGGATGGTTTTATGGAGAAGGGCGCTTTCAAGAGGAGACGTGGAGACGAGCTGCGAAAATGGGGGATGGCAAATGGCGATTTGTTAGACCTTGTTCAATCTTTTTCCCCAGTGGCACCAATCCCTCGTTCCAAGGTTGCTGGGCTGGGCATCTTGAGGTTTACAAATTGAGGCCCCGAGACTCGGTCACATCTGATTTGAAGTTGGAGAGCCAGGTGCCCAAGGGCAGCCACTTGTTCCGAATCTTCTTTTCTTTTTTAGTAGACACTCCTTCAAACAGGGCCCGCAAAGGATACGTACATCTTGGCCAGTTGAAAGATCACTTCTAGTAGTTTGATGTATCCTTTCAGAAACCCATCACCAAAGGGTGTCCTTTTTTTCTCAGGCAAGCAGGCCAAATTTCTCCTTTCAGGATGTGAATGTCTTTCAAACCTTGTGGAGATCGATGCGACTCGCTTGAAAGTGGTTGCTTTTCAGGACTTGAGTAAAGCGTTTCCATGATTCATAGAGTCAAATACTTGCGTTCTGGAGCAAAGAAGGGCTCATTTTGGAGTATGTCATATTTTCAGGCCTCCAAACAACGAGAACCGTTTCTTTGGGAACATGGCAAGCGCAGAACGCCTCTGTGGGAAGGTGCTGTGGGAAGGTGCTGTGGAAAGGTGCTGTGGAAAGGTGCTGTTCGAAGGTGCTTTCAGAAGCCCAGTCTCTGGAAGGGGGCAACCAGACAAACTCGCAACTCAACACATCACAGGCGAATTGGCGACTTGACTCAGGGAATATCAACTTGAGCAGAGGCGAAGCCGCCAGCTCGATGCTTCGGAATGCTTCCGGTTCGGGACTGGGCTCCCTTGCCCGACAGCCATCGCCAAAGTGAAGTCTTGCTCGTATTGCATGCGGTCTGCAATGGCGACAACCTCCAGAAAGCATTTGGGTGGTTCTCCACATGAGGGACCCGGGACCCGCAAGAATGGTTGGTTTTCTAATTATTGGCTTTCCTTTGACAGCTTCCAAAAAGGGGCGACTGGTGACAAGACAAACCCACCTCTTCCGCAGGACCACCATCCTGGTGGTGCACCTTTTCGTGCTTGCGCGCGCTCCCTGTGCTCCCGAAGTACATCACCCGCAAGCCACGGCCGCGCGGCGACATCGGCTGATGGAAGGGCCAGTGATTCACCGCGCAAAGCACTGTGTGCAGCTGCGGAAAGCCAATCCTTCGTTTGAGTTTTGAGTTTTGAGCGCTGAGGTGGGTGTCTTTGTGGCGGGGTTCTTCTTCATTTGCCTGCTGGCGCCGCTCGGCATAAAGCTTTGTGCCAGGAACTACAATTGGGAGAGACGGGAGGGAGAGATGGAGCACTCGCTTGCCGAAAGGGTGCATGTCTTCTTGGGACGAGCCTTTGCAGACCTGTCAAGGGAGGAAGTTCATGTGAGGTTTGGTCCAGATATCCAGTCGCATATTGTCCGTTTGGGAGCGCCCCAGGGTCACTCACACAATTTCTCGCAAATTGCGGAGGGCTCGGTGATTTTCCTGTTTGGTTCAGGTTAGCATCAAGGGGACGCTGCCAAAAGAATCACGGTGGGCTTTTGGTTTCCCTTTAAACCAACCCAAAAGGCCTAGCATTCAAAAAACACACACCCATATTTTCTTCATGGCACATGACGCATTTGACTCAGGAAGATCCTTCTGGGCCGGGCACCCCAGGTTGCTGCCCGCACCACTTAGGTCTCGGCCTGTCTCATAGGAGCTTGGAGGGGGCCTTTAAGGATTCTCAATGGTGAGCTCAAACTGAGAGTCGATCTCCAGCAACTTTGGACCCTCAGATGCCGAAAGGATTGGAAAGGTGCGACGTTTACGGAAGGAAATGTGGGTATATCTCTTTGTAGGGCCGCAGATTTCCTTCTCTTGGTGGTTCCCAGTTTGCCCTTGGCGTTTTAGCTTTTTGGGGTTCGGTGGTAGTTTCCATTCTACCCACTAAGTGTTAAACTTTTAGCAGATCTGAGACAGCCCAGTCCTGGAAAACACGCCATGTTCATGAGTTTGTCCATGGTCTTCTAGTGGACCCAGGCATTGTGCTCGTGGGCTTCGCTGCTCGCCGGCGGGGCCGGATCTCCCGAGGCCGAAAAACTGGGCGGGGGGGAGCAACGAACCGGGCGTGCCTGTTCTCTGGTGCCCCTGTTTTGGGGGCTTGAAAGTGCAACGAACCAACATAATTTTCAGTGCACTTCTGAGACCAAGGGGCGTAAGACATGATGTAATCACTGAGTTTGCTAATGATTTCCTGATGAAGGCTGTGTTTGAACATCATTGCCATCCAGTCCGCTTGAACACTAGACCACAATGGTAGGCATCATTATTTTCCCTAACATGAAAGCTCCCAACAGCTCTGACTCGGACCATTCAGCTCCGATTCTTCTAGAGCGGCCATATCAACCGACCCAACGAGTCAGGGATTTGCCTCAATTCTCTGCGACGTTCTTGAAATCGCCGGAATGAGAGCGAAACAGATGAAGAGGACGCTGGAGCCTTAGGGTTTCTTGAAAGATGATAACCAGACAGATCTTTCGAGTTAGGGAACTAGGATTCAGTTTGTTTGTCAGAGTATGTACGCATGTATGGAGATAGACCTGATCCATGGCGCCCTGCTGCAAAAGAAGGGGATGACTTCATGCGGAGCTCATGGTGCCCGCTGGACCCAAGGTTTCACAAGAGGACCACCAGAGGCATGCCAATGGGGGAAGCTCTGCTTTACGGGCGCCTTTTTGGAGCTTCCCAGACCTCTCCGCGCTTACCTTTGAGCGTTATCTTGGGTCAATCCACGGGTCTATTTGTCCCGCAGGGCTTGGTTTACCTGCGTATGTGGCTTCTTCCAACTGCCTCCCTCGACCCGATTCATCATTATTCCATCAATCTCGGGAAACATTGCCAGCGCCTTTTGGTTTCGGGGGCCGGATAGGTTTTGGGCGTTCCCTCGTACTGGCGCAACCCCTCCCCTTCATTTGACACATGCATGACCCCTCAGAACAAAAACTGAAAGTGAATTTGGGCTGGGGTGCTTGGGGTGTGCCAGGAACAGTTCTGTGCGACTTGCTGCGGAAAACAAAGACCACCAATTGGGCGTGTCTTTGCTTGGCCCAAGTCAGTGGCCCCCGTCGTGGGGGTCTCGTGTCCGTGAGGCCTGGAGCTGTTCCCAAAGATCAAGTCCCTGTGACGGCGAAAGCGACGCCGCGGAAGTTCGCGGGGCGGCGCAGCGAAGGGAGCGGAGGGAGCAAACGTAGGGGCCATAGGTGCAGGTGCCAAAGGGGTGTGAAGCGAAGGAGCCATTGACTAGTTTATGGAGCACCCAGATCCCCATGGGGCAGGAACAGATGTTAGCACCTGCATGCGTGGAGGGGTTTGAGACTGGAGGCCGTCGCGAGGATGGCATCAGATCTCAGGTTTCACAAAGAGACGGTCTCAGAAACCGGCCGCTTCCACTCGCAGAAAGGCCCTTGCGAGCCAATGGTCAAGATGTACGAGATACATGGGAAGACATGGCACCGTTTGCCAAGTTACCCGGATGGTGCAGACATTGAGGATGATGCCCATGAGACCAGGTGATGCAGATGATAGGTGCAGATGTGTTTATGGTATGAGAGACATGAAGCTGATAGCGATTGGTGAAGCAGGCGAGACAGATAGAGTTTGAATGATGAAAGCTGGCACAGACGTCTTGCAGGTGATGCTTCGGATGTATGAATAAACTAATAGTTACATACATATATGCACAGGTATGGTAGCATACACATGGGTGTGTTCTTGTCGAGGCTACCCATTTTTGGTGGTTTTGAAGCAAAACTAAGAGGACACTCATCAATTTGGGGGGTTCCCTGGAAGCGTCAAAGGCATGTTGTATGGATGATGTGACACTTGCATTGATATGAATTGTGCAAGAGTACTTGGCACACGTGCAACACTTCATTCCAGCTGTCCAAACAACACTATGATGTCGCTTCTTGCTCAGAGTGCCCCTGTCCAAAACGAGTGTGCAGCGTATATTCTAATCTTGTCTCTGTTCATATGCAACACATATCTAATTGGATGAAGCTAGCCCAAAGAAAGCCAACTGCAAACACACTGGCCCTGCTCGTTGCCGTAAACACCAACCAACACAACAAAGGGCAGGTACATGGGAGGTGCATATACATGCGCATGCATACCGTACATACGTACATATGTACGTACATACATACAGGTATTATGCAGCACATATTTATACACTTGTATATGAACGACATGGCATTGTTTCGCGCTACACCGGGCTTGGCGCGCTGGTGAATCATCGTGCGCTCTCCCGCCGCCTTGTGGCTGGCAGCCGACTTTCGAATCACCGCCTTCGGGCCACACCCGTCGCAGCGGTCTGAGAGGGGAAGTGTCACTGGGCGTGGGAGGGTCTCCCACTCAAAGCGGGCGAAATAAAACTGGCAGCAAAAGGTGCTCAGGATCCCTAACCCTGGATTTGGCTGGGCTACACCGGGTGGTTTGAGTGTGTGTTCTTGGTTCTTTTGTTTTAATCGAGCAAAACAACGGTCCAAAAAGGATGCCCTTGTTCTCCATGGGTGGGGGTGTTCAACAGTCCTTATGCCGGGTAGTGGTTCCCCTTGTTGTGGTGCCCTACTGCGGATTGCGGTTAAGAGATCCCACAATATTGATCAACCCAGTCAAAGGGGAACCCAAAAGCAAAGCAGTTGCATGGGTGTGTTCAAATAGACCCTGAGTGGCCACTTGTAGCGCATCGGAACCGGTGTGTGGGGTGGGTTTCCGGCCTGCCTGTTTTGTCCCACAAGGCAGGGCCATTTCGCCTCGGTCGACTGGTTATCCTAGGGGGATCCTGGGAACGAGCAATCCCCCGCGGTTCGGCTTAATTGCCAGAATCCAGGCAACCACGACATCGAGTTTGCTCATCAGGGTCTGGCAGGTTGGGGTACCGGGTACAATGATTCAACAGGCCCAAAAGTGTCATATACCGTGCATCTTCGGTTGATCATAGCGAAACTACCGGCTACCGGATGGCTCACATGGCAGATATGCTGCCAACATGTGCTCCTTCGGTTCTGCCGGGCTGGCTGAGGTCATCATGGATTCCATGTTTGCATTGACTCTAAGCGCGCCGCTTTCTTCCCTTTCTCCACGAGCCCCAGTGCTCCCGCCACGTTACCGGAAGAGCCGAGCTCGGGAGTTAGCGGTTGGGGCCGAGTCCGGCCGACAACAGATGGAAGGAGGGTGGATCAAGGCCTTGTCTGTTTCTCCGTCTTATCGAGTCTTTCTTGGGAAATCCATGGGTCAACCAGCCTTTGCCAACGGCGAACAGGGGCGGTTGTCATCGGAGCCCTTCTGTGAGCATCCGGAACTCTTGCGAGTCCAAAGTCGGATCCAGGACTGATGAACCTGCAAGCGGCGGACCCGCAAAATGGTAGTTTTCGTGTTTGGTTTCCCTGCCACTCCCAAACAAGGTACCACGAAAAACACATGCCCACATGCGAATCGTGGCAGATTCTACGGATTCGCGAGGATGCCAGGGCCTCAACTTGTGTCTTGCTAGTGAGCCACTTTCAACACAGAAGCGGAGAAGGGAGGGGAGGGGGAAGGTGGACCCCATGACTTGTGAACAGGCTCTGAAATACAGGCCGGTACTCTTGTCCGTGGGTCAGGCTTTGGTGGACCCAGTTTTGGGTTCGCACACTTGCAAGGGCCCACGTGCATCAATCTCTCCTGTCTCGGCAAGCGCTAAAGAGTTCTGCAGCACAAACAAGCGCGCAGGAACGGCGGAGTCAACGGCGGCGGATTCACCGGCGGCGGTAATGCCACTTGGTTAATCGAAATTTCCTGATTTGTCTACAGTCAATTGAGGGAGGGGGGGACAAGCCAGGTTTGAACAACTGGCAAGACAGACCCGTTGTCTCATGTCCTTTGGGGCACATGCATAGATTGACTGTGACTCATATGCCATGTTAGATCACCTGGCTACTTCAGCGCCTTGCCATCCTTTTGTAGGAATGTTTGGGCGACCATCATCCAGATTCTTGTTCAACAGCCACTGCTAGGTGATATCGCCACAAGGAGGTTTGATCCTGGTACGCATGATTTTGATCTCGAAATGCAGGAGCGGCCGTCTTGAAACCGTGGGCAGCTTCCTTGTGTATTGCTTGTCCGACAATTTGGTTGCCTGCGCGTTCCAGTGGCTATGTACATCCATGAACAGGAATATGAGCTTGGACCAATGCTTTTTTGTGAGAGGGGTTTGCTCGTGCAAGGTCTTCTTCCAGCTTCATAACGCCAGACCTTCACCAGATGGCTTCAACAAAAAAGGCGCGCGCGGAGTGAAGCTTGGTCAAGACACTCGAAATGCTCGCGCTTAATTGCCGTAGAAATGAACATGTGATGGCATCTGCATCCCGGGTCCGCCACGTATTCCAGTGGCACAAAAAGTGGCAAGACAGACCTGACCAAGCTGTGCAGTCGGATGATAGACCCATGAGCCTTAGAGTCGAATCTCTGATATGCGCTGGTGTTTTGCAGGCAAAAGTCTCGCTTCTCAGCCTGCATGCAGGGGTCCTCAGCATGCTGTTTCTGCACAGGGCTCAGTTGCGTTATTTTTCCTACTTCTTACTTTTGTGAGAAGGAACCTCCCTCCTTCAGTCAAAATAGTTTTTTTCCAGTCAGCAGACTCCATGCATCGCAGAACTGGGGTCGGCAAAACTATTTTCCCACTCCGCGTACCGGCCTCACATACCAGTGAAATTTTGTCCGCGTTCGGCGCGTGCGCGCCGTCAGGATTGAAAGCGGAGCAAACGCGGGCAATGCAGGTGATGCAGGCGATGCGCGAAACCCAGGCGGCTTTCAAGGACGTCGGCGATGCTGCCGATGCAGCCGTTTTGCTGCATATTTGCAGTGTTTTTTAGCTTTCCCCCAACTCGAGCTCCAATGGCCGCGCGAGCGGTGATGATGAGCCAAGGCCCCCGCCCAGACACTGGACAAGCAGCCTAGCCGTTCCCTGTTCTTTTTCTCTCCATCTTTCCCTTTCATTTGCGGCCGGGAGCAGGGGTTCTGGGAGGATCCACCGCAGGGTTCCGCGCAGCGTTCTGAGAGGGGTCCGCTGCAAAGGCTCTGAAGGAGCAGCGCGTGCTGTTGGGGACGTCACTTGACCTCTTTTTTTTTGGTGGGAAGGACAAAGATGTCAGACAGCACTGCGTTCCGGGACCTGATGGCAATGTGAGGTGGCAGAATCTTTGCGCCAGACCGCTTGTGGGGAGGATTTGGGCACAGCGCCGTTTTATCGTTACATGGGGGGGTCAAAGGTGTCAGGCCGTTTGCGGACAGAAAGTTTTCGCGCAAGTCTTCTGGGGCAGGATGTCCTCGATTCTTTGTTTGTTTTTGCTGGGAGAAGGTGTTTGAGAATCTGCGCCGAGCCATGTGCAGGCAGGACTCGCGTGGAGGGCATGTTGTCAGTGCGAACAGAAGCATGAGATCGTTCGCCAGCGCTACTGGGACTGGCGTTCCACAAACAGCCAAGTCGCCCCAGATGTTCACTCTCCCCTCATTCATGTTTCACAAAGAGGTTCAACACCTGAGGGTGTCACCGGTGTTTGTTTGGACAATGCCCAGCATCCAAGATGTTTTACTCAAGGTCCTCTTTGCGATTCAAGCCCGCAGGAGGCTTGTCCCGTGTCAACACTGCTACGGCCAAGGTCCATTTTGATTTCCGGCACAGGGTATCTCTAACGAACTCGCCAAGTTCCAGTGTGTGAATTGTAGAGGGAACGCAGCATGTCCTTTTCTTGCCGGCTCCCAGCCATCCCCTTGACCTTTTAGCCTTGTAGTCATTTGTAGTGTTTAGTGGTCGTTTCCATGTAACCCAAAGGTTCGTCGCTTTTCGCGGGGGATCTGCAGCGGGGAGCCCTGGACTCCGAGGGGTCCCAAGGCCTCGCTGCGGCAGCTGGGCGCTGAGGAGCGCAGAGCCATGCTGCAGCGCCTCACTCAGGCGCCTCAGCCGAAGATGGACGTGGGTTGTGTTGGTCTTCTGGTGGGTTTTGGAGGGGTTGAAAGGGACACCAGAAGGAACCCAGCCAAGGGGTTCACCCATTTTCAAAGCCAGTCAAAAAGGAGTCCACCAATTTCAGAAACTCCCTATATATACCTAGATATGTGCTGATTCGCAGCAAGGGGAGCCACTACAGCCGAAAAAATCGCTGACACTGCCTGCCAGTAAGGATCAGTAAGAAGGCGCCATGAACTTCCCAGGGCTTCCCTGGCTCGGCGGACTTCGAGCTTTCTGGGACCGGATGGTAATGGGCTGGTTCCCACTCCCGTGACAGGGAACCACCCCTACGTGAAGCATAGGTCATTTGGAAGGACCTTCCATTGGTATCACCCCAACTTTGTTCTGGGAAGACCATTTTGGTTGTGAACAAGTCCGATTTTTTCTGTCCATTCCACTCAGGAGAAGAGTTTTATCTGTTTTGGGTCGGTATGAAGGAGTTTGCAAAAGGGGGGTTATTGCTAAAAGGGTGTTTGTTCAAATTGTTTTTTGCCGGGGGGGGGGGGGGTGTGATTGTATTGGCTTGTTTGTAGTTTTAAGCTTGAAATGAATACCGAACACCGTTTGAGGCAAATTGACATGTGGGGAACCGAAAGAGGACCAAACCCTGAGGGCAGAAGTTGAACCTTGTTTGGGGGTCCTGTTCTCCCCTGTTTAGAGTTTGGTCGTTGATCGGTCCATTGGGGAATCCATGGGACCACCTCGAAGTGCAGATCCCCTTTTCTTGACCCCCCAAAGGCATTCACGTGGCTGCGTGAAATTATTCGAACGCACCGTAAAGGAAAAGGAACACCAGGTTTTGAGGGCCCATTTAACCAGGGGCTTTGCCTAGCAAGCATCCCCAGCACCCAGCGCAGGCGAAACGCCTTGCCCTGGAGCGTTGGATGCTCAGCACCGCCAGGCCTTCGACGCGTCGATCTGGGGTTTCCTTCCGCTGGCCCACTGGAGTTCAGTCCCCTTGTTTGCAACAAGTTTCCAGCAATTGCTTTTGGGGAAACCCTGTAAAATCCCTTTCCCCTTTTTGGTTTTGGCAGGTTGCCCTTGAAACACAACAACCACATGAAGCCAATCACTTGGAGGGAGCAGCAGGCCTTCTCCAGCAGACTGAAAATGAAGACGCGTTATGTCGGGCCGACGCGCGTTTTTTTGTTCTTCTCCTGGTCATCTTTGCCTATTCAAGCAGCGTCCAGGAGCCTCGCTGATCTTTCTAGAATGGGGTTATACCCCATCGTGTTACAGGTTAGGCATTGTCAGAACCACTTGGTTTCCTTGGGGGGACAGGGATGGTCAACCCGTGGAGTTGAGACAACCATTTGGTTTGACCTCGTGGCGCGCACGCAGGGCAGCTTCCAAGCATGCAAAAGGACCCGGAGACTTGCAAGGGGTGGACTTGACGCGTGGGTGTGGCATGTGACTTTTGGGTCTGGGTGCTAACACAGCACATGTTTTTCTTCCCCCCCCAAAGGAAACCAACAGTTCCCGGAGCTGCCCGTTTGATTTTCCATGTTGCGCTTTTGCAGGCCATGCCACAGAGAGGTGGAACTGGAAAGAATCTTGCCGACGGGGATTTGTGCGAGGTTCCCATACCAAATGGATGTGTTTTTTTTTGTGTGGGTGTGTGGGTGTGTGTTTTTTGAGGGTGTTTGAAGGACCACCAAACGGACAAGCGCCGTTTTTGGGGTCCCACAATTTCGACCGAAGCTTGTCCCCTACCTCTGGCCCTGGAGGACCTGGCAAGCGTCCCAATCACTCGGATCGCAAGGCGGGTTTCTTGGAGCTCGGGGCAGTGGATTTCTTCCCAGTTGCCTTTCGCCGGTTGCTGTCAAACTGCCAACTTTTGAGTTCTTGGGTTTGCCATGCGCAGGCCTGTGACAACCGTGGGGTTCCTCAACTAAAAAGCACTTGCACGGCTTAGGCTCACCGCTGCTTTGCCAGCCTGTTCCTTTCACAAGTGGACTAGTTGGTTATCAACAGGCGCCCCTTGCAGCCTTACACCGCTTTCATTTCTTTTCCTTTCGATTCAACAAGGACCAGCACCCAAGAAATCAGGGCACCAGGTGCATCTGCAAAGAGTGCAGGGTTGACCCAACAAACCCAGGGTTGCTTGGAGCCGATCAAAGTTGGCCAATCTGCCAAACCCTGGATCCTCGGAGCCAGCTTCCTCATTTGTGGAGTGCTCGAAACGGCAGTGCTCGCCTCATTCACATTATTTTTGTAAATCTATCACTCGTCAAGATCGTGGTAGGCTTCACGTTGTTTTTCTTGAAATTCTCCAAACCTGTTTGTGGTTGAACAAGGCCCAAGAACCCTTTTCTTCTCGACAAGGTCCGCAGATGTTTGTTTTGCGATACCGGGAACCTCACCCTTGCGGCAGGCCAGTGTCACACGTGACTCCCACAGCCATCTTCGTCCCCAGGAGCGGAGGGCGCGGCGTCGCGGCGGATGCAGCAGGGGCCAAAGGAGCGCCAAAAGGTGTTCAACAGTGATGCTCGATATTTGTTGTTGCCGATCTTCTTTTTTTTCTCGGGGGGGGGTATTTGCTTTCCTCCAGCTCCTTCTTTCGCCTCAAGTGAGGTGCGAGTGCCTTCGGGCGCTGGGCAGTTGTCCACTTGGGTGCAGAGCTCAGCCGAGGAACCGCGTGCCAAAAGTGGGGGTGTCTTTTCAAGTATTTTTTGGTGGGTGCCTTATTTTTGGTTGGTTTAGAGATGTTTACAGGGAACCAGAAAGAAACCACCCATTTTGGGGTTCCTCGATTTGTGAGGCAACGCCACTCGGTTTGCTCGTGGTTTCGAATCCAAACGGATTGCAGGGCCCGGCTTTCCACTTTTGTGATAGCCCACTGGAGGTCGGGGGATATGTTTCCCTTTTCAGGTGCCTCGAGTCCTCGTCCTCTGAAGTTTAGAGCAAGTTGGGTTTTCTGTGTCAGTGACGATGGGGTCTTTGGAGCGGGGAATCGACCTTGCCCATCCTCCGACCAAGCCAGTTGTTTTGTTTCAACTGGAGGAACCTGGAGCAATTGCACAACACTGGTACACTGGTATCCCGTGTTTCATGCCACGCTGCGGGACTGCCCCTAAATCAAAATTAGCTATTGTGAATTGTGATATTGTCCATTTCTCGTATTGGATCATCTATGCAACCATCGAACAGGCGGCAATGTTGTTCAGCCCTGGCCAGTGGCCGTATTTCCAACCGGAGAAAGGGGGCAAGAGGGGCTCCACCGGGCTCCACCTTGAAGGGTTCAATTTCAATGCAGGTTTTAGGCAATCTAAGGAACCTCGGGGTGTCCCCCTTTTGGAGACAAAGCGATATTGGATTTGTTTGAAGAGGCGTCCCTCCAGGCTGCAGGCCTTGAGAATCGCCCTAGGCCGCGGCTTCTACGCGCAAGCCAAGCTCGCTGCAGAGACCCAAGAGGCCGATGGAACCCAAGGGACGGGGCCCAAAGGCTCGGAGTTGGCTCATGTTTTGGGTTGTCAGGGCACACTGGAGACCGGTTTGTGGCGGCACCTGGCACCTTTTCAAGGCACTGCTGTGAAAATTCGATGTTTGAGGATTCCTTTGTGGGCTGGTGCTCCTTGAAGGCTCTGACAAATTCTTTGGGCGACCTCACCTGGTCACCGGGTGGCAAAAGCTTTAGCAGTCTCATCATCACTGGTAGCGACTTGGGCCAGGCCAGCAAGCACGATTCCCCTGTGGGCAGATAGCTCTTGCTCGGTGTTGGATGCCAAGCGAATTCAATGCTTTGGGCCCAAGCCCTGCGAGGGGGCTTGACCAAAATGGCTGAAGTTCCCGGGGAGGCATCTCCATTGGTTTTCCACCTCCACGGCAATCGCTTGCATCGGTTCCACTTCTTCCGGACAAATCGTTCTTTCAATGTGCCTCAAATTATCTCAAAATCTTTCTGCCTGGCATTGAGGCCAGAGCTTCACAGGCTTCGCTCCTTTTTGTTGGAAGGAAGGGCGACTTCCTGGCCGATTTTTGAGCCATGGCCTGGCCGGCACCCAAAGAGCTCGCGGGCGTGAAGTCGCGGAAGCGGCCGATTTTTGAGCTCAGCCTGGGGTGCGTGGCGGAGCGCGGGGTGAACCGCGTCTCCGGTCCGGACCTCAGATCTTGACGCGGCGGAAGCGCGTGGGGTTCCTCGAAAGATCACCGAGCCTGGATTGCATGAACTGTTTAGCGTTCCCAAGCTAGCTGGACCTTTGGATCTGGCTCTAAACGAGCTGCAACATGATTACAGCGATTTGAAAGTCCTCTCCAAATCTGGATCCCGCGACTGAACTTCCGGCAAATCCCACCCCACCGCCGGCCGGCCATCCTGATCCCGGAAGGGTGGTCCCTGAAGCGCTTAGCTCATGGGCATGTGATGCTGGCAAGTTGCCAAGCAAATCGAAATCAAAGGTGGGGGAAAGGAGGGAAGGGGGTGAATGTTATTTACGTTTCGGGGTTTCGTTCCCCCACAAACACCCTTGTACAAGGGAATTCAGGATATTTTGACCAAGCCTCACACTCCAAGAAACATGTCCACTACCCTCAAACCAAACTAAAACCGCTGGGTTTTCACCCGCTATTTCGCAAAAAGAAGAAGAAGAAACACACGCGGTCCATCCGTGTTGACGTTCCCAGGCCTCAAGCTGTCCCTGGAGAGCCGCATTTGCGCCCTGGGCGATGGCGGCCTCCTGGGCGTCGAGCTGCTGCTGGGGGAGCTTTCCCCGACCTCTGGCAAGGCGGACGGACTCGGGGAGTGGGAGGCAGCTTCCCTTGCTTCCATTTGAAGACTATTTTCAATTTTCCCCTGTTGGTTTTGAAGGGAATCTATCACCACTGGACATATTTTTTTTCGTCCAGGGGTCTGGGCCAAATGGAGGCTTGGGTTTCTGGTTTGAAACCCGAAAGGGCACCCTCAAAAACGCAGCCAGGGTTACAAGTTCGCTTGGACAAGTGGCTGGTGGACATATGCCCTCGCCGAAATGATGTTTCACCGTTTGAAAGGCCAGACCTTTTCGTGGGGCCAAATGACAAACATTGTGCTCCAGTCACAACTCAACTCGGTTAATATAGCAGGCGTGGTGGGAGTACCACGGAGTTATAGCGTTCGTTGTGGTAGGAGTGAGTGCGAGTGCCAGCCAACTTTATGTGCAATCTATCACCAAACCCCCCGACACATCCAGCCTTGCCTGTCCGGAATCCGCGGCAGTCTTGCTGGGCTGTTCAGGAAATCCTTACTCCTTATTTAAGGGCTGCCGCCCAGTGCCGCCGACCCCTTCAATTAAATGAACGAATTCTTGATTCTCCGGTGCGGCGTTCGCGAGCGAGAATCCGGAATGCGCCAATCCACTTTTTTTTTTTCCTGTGGGGGGGGGGACCTTTTCAGCTGGATGGGCACATTCTTGATTCTCCGGTGCGGCGTTCGCGAGCGAGAATCGGGAATGCGCCAAATCCACTTTTTTTTTTTCTTGGGGGGGGGGGGGAGACCCCCTCAGTTGGATGGGCGCATTCTTGATTCTCCGGTGCGGCGTTCGCGAGCGAGAATCGGGAATGCGCCAATCCACTTTTTTTTTTCCTGTGGGGGGGGGGGACCCTTTCAGCTGGATGGGCGCATTCTTGATTCTCCGGTGCGGCGTCCGCGAGCGAGAATCGGGAATGCGCCAATCCATTTTTTCCTGTGGGGGGGGGGACCTTTTCAGCTGGATGGGCACATTCTTGATTCTCCGGTGCGGCGTTGCGGCGAGTTCGCGAGCGAGAATCGGGAATGCGCCAATCCACTTCTTCTTTTTTTCTTGGGGGGGGGGGGGAGACCCCCTCAGTTGGATGGGCGCATTCTTGATTCTCCGGTGCGGCGTTCGCGAGCGAGAATCGGGAATGCGCCAATCCACTCTTTTTTTTTCCTGTTGGGGGGGGGGACCCTTTCAGCTGGATGGGCGCATTCTTGATTCTCCGGTGCGGCGTTCGCGAGCGAGAATCGGGAATGCGCCAATCCACTTCTTTGTTTTTTCTTGGGGGGGGGGGAGACCCCCTCAGTTGGATGGCGCCAATCCACTTTTTTTTCTGTGGGGGGGGGGGAGACCCCTTCAGCTGGATGGGCGCATTCTTGATTCTCCGGTGCGGCGTTCGCGAGCGAGAATCGGGAATGCGCCAATCCACTTCTTTGTTTTTTCTTGGGGGGGGGGAGACCCCCTCAGTTGGATGGCGCCAATCCACTTTTTGTTTCTGTGGGGGGGGGGGGAGACCCCTTCAGCTGGATGGGCGCATTCTTGATTCTCCGGCGCGGCGTTCGCGAGCGAGAATCGGGAATGCGCCAATCCACTTCTTCTTTTTTTTCTTGGGGGGGGGGGAGACCCCCTCAGTTGGATGGGCGCATTCTTGATTCTCCGGTGCGGCGTTCGCGAGCGAGAATCGGGAATGCGCCAATCCACTTCTTTGTTTTTTCTTGGGGGGGGGGAGACCCCCTCAGTTGGATGGGCGCATTCTTGATTGTTCGGTGCGGCGTTCGCGAGCGAGAATCGGGAATGCGCCAATCCACTTCTTGTTTTTTCTGTGGGGGGGGGGGGTGTGTTGTTTTCGCACAGATTGATCTCCCGCAACATTTGGCTCAAGGCCCCTTTTGCATAATCACGACCATTCGAGCGTGAGGACAAAAGAGCCATTGCAGGCCGCTTACAGGATTATCCATCAGACAATCCACCAGGGACAATCCATCCTCCAATCATCCATTGTAGGCATACTGGACTCTCTCCGGAATAGATTCAGGGACCAACAACGACCTCAACTACCACAGGGTTCCAGTTCCCTCCGGGGATAGGCACCTGGGGCAGTGGGCCTCAATTTGTGGTAGCGGAGCGGGTTTTCCGCAGAGATCCAAGGGAAGATGTCATCAGATGGAGAAGGTTTCATGGAAGCCTACACAAGTTCGGCAAAGCCGAGCTACACGGAGGAAACACTTAATTTATCGATGACCGCCAAGCAGCCGCCATCGTACGACGGAAAAGTCAGCTGGTTCAGGTATGAAGAACTCGTGGACGACTGGGTGACAATCACCACAGTAGAAGCAGCCAAGCGAGGTCCATTGCTTAAGAGCAGGCTCACTGGAGATGCTTACATGTACAAGGCCGTCCTCCAAAATGACCTTTTGCAAGATCCTGATGAAGGAGTCAACTATTTCAAGAACACGCTGAAGAAGTACTTTTTGAAAGGTGCGATCAACGTGTATCTGTACAGACTCCTCAGTTTCTTCAACCACAGAAGGCAGAACCAAGAGTTCCTCATTTTTACCTCAAAATTCGAGATCCTTCTCATGAGATTGAAGGCAGCATGGATGGACTTGATGCCAATCTTTACGGCACAGTCTCCATCATTCCGACAGTCCGTACAGGACGCAAACGCGAGAACAATTGCTCGACATCAGCAAAGCAGCCGGTGCTCGAGCACCGCCTCCAGCCCTGCTAAATGAGGACGATCCTACAGTCCTCAGACAATATATCCAAGGAATGCAGGACAGACAGCGGGACGCATTTCCCTTCGGGGATAATCTCATTGCACAGTTTTTCATTATACCAAGTGAGTTGTCAGACCAACAAAGAGAACGACTCACAAGTGCAATGTCATTTAGGAACATCTCACTCGAGAATTATTCCTATGAGATGCTGAAGACACGCTACCATGAACTCTTCACCACTACGAGGACATCGATCCAAGATCCATCCATCCGACCTCAAGGAGGCAGCCGAAGCAACACATTCTTCATCATCGAACAAGGTGAATACGAAGGAGAAGAAGGCTTCTGGGTTGAGGATGAAGAAGGACTTGAAGGATTCATGTCAAACAACGATGAAGAGACGTTCTGGGTCCTCGAGGAGAACGATGCACGTATCGCGGAAAACAACAACTCCAAAACCTGCAGCACCTCATCCAGCAGAGAACATGTTCGTCGAGGACCTCACATCTATTCCTGAACAAGCACATTGGAACTGTGTACGTAAGGGGAAGATCCACGTTCTCGAGATCTTTGCAGGAAGTGCCAGATTCAGTCAATGCTGTGCACTGTCAGGTCTTAAGGTTGGGACTCCCGTGGACATCCGCGCAGGGTTCGATGTAATGACATCCAAGGGACGACACATGGTCATGGAGATCATCAGGGAACAAGCACCTGATGTCATCCTTATGGCACCAGTCTGCGGACCATGGTCAAATATGCAGAACATCCAGCAAGACCAGCAAAAGGTGGGGGAAAAGCGGAAACGCTACCTTCCCATGGTTGAATTTGTGGCATCCATTGCGCGTTGCCAGTTGAAGCACAGAAGATACTTCATTATCGAAAATCCTCAGACATGCAGGATATGGTATCTGAAATGCATGCAGCAATTGTTTTCAGATCCATCCGTGACCTGGGTGGGGAGATTTCCATTTCTGTGCATACG